CTAGGAAATGTCTCGCTTTTCCTTTGTACACAAAGTGAAGGGCATTTTAAGTTTAAATAAAAAAGATATGTACTTCGAAAAAATTATATTTTTTATTTACTATACATTGTGTAAAGTTTTTTAATTGCTAAGTGCTTTTATAATTTATTATTATATGTATTTTATATTTCTTATAATTTCTTACTGCTTATATGGACCGGAGTTCTGTATCTGGTGGCAGCGGGAAACCCACCCAGCTACATATCAATAAATGCCAGCTTGTCTGGGAAGTAAAGATGGTTGATGTTTAATTCCCCCTCCCTTTCATCATTCCACTTCAATTTCATTGCCATTTAATAGTCAAACATTTACAGAAATAGTTTTGTAAGCAAATCAATACCTCTGGGGAAACTGAATTGGAGAGTGATCGTTCTCTGATTCTGGTCAAGATTACGATCTGTGGATGAATAAATGGATGTATGAATGGGTCCGCCCTATAAACGGGCGTAACGTATGGGTGTGGCAGAAGTCGAATTCTTGGCCATAGATGGCGCCGCTGGAAAACAAGAACAATTGCACCCCCTCTGCCTAAAATGGCATACATCAACAACAACAATAGTTTTTTACTCTTGAGAAAATGTAAGCGCTTCAGCAAGTAATTGAAAGAACTATTTTGATATAAGTCGAGGATAGATTGAGGGATAAGATAAGAAGTAATCGATAGACAAATAGCAAACATTTAAAATAATGATCACAAAGTTTTGTGTTCAACTGTTTATCTCCATATATTAACAAAAACGTTACTGCCACAATCCTAACACAAGAACTATTGGATAAAAAAATATGGCATTTTGCAGATTTTTAAAAACTTGTTGTAGTAAGTTTCTGACGCGAAAATGTTTTTAATGTGGCAGTAGGTTTTTAGTTATTTTTTGTAAAAATAAAATCTTTTTGAGACTTGTGAATCAGTTTTGTGCAAGTTATCAACAGAGAGAATATTAATTCTAGTAACGGCCACTTATTCTTCTATCTGAAGATTAGCACTACTGTTTACTTTGTTTAGATTTCGAATTAGAATTGAAGTTGTTAAATAGTTTGTTTTGACAGTTTTTTCGACGTAAAGTTGAAACAAGTTAGCGAGCAATAGCGAGTATTCGGCGTAGCTTCTGACATAAATAAAACAAAGAATTTCAATTTAAGAAATACTTATTTAACATGGCTGAGGCTAAAACAATGAGAGAAGATAAAACCGTGGATTCAACTCTGAGGGAGAACATTTTTACAGGTTTCATACATACCTGGAAAAAATTAGAAAGTGATAGCAATGTTATTATATATTATTATATTTGTAGCTACCAGAAAATTTTATTTTTTCTAAGCAAATAAATATAGATCCGAAAGTAGTGGATGGAAAAACTAAATTCGATAGTGGAAGCTAATATTAAGAAGTTCATTTTCTTTAAAGCAAATTTGATACCAGTTATTAATTTTTTCTAGGTGCGTAAGAGACATGTTTTATTGACAACCAAAATCATAATGAAACAGCCAGTTTAGATAGTTTTCATGCATGGACAGCATAGACATTTCTATCTATTTACATCATTACGCGCACCTCATACTATTACCATAATCATACTCTATTACCATACTATCACCAAACAACTCAAATTATTATCATACTACTCATACTCTATAACCTTACTACTCATGCAATTACCATAACCATGCTCATGCAATTACCATTACCATAATACTCATATTATTGCCATAACCATACTTTATTAATAAACTATTATCTTATTACTCAAACTATTACTATTACTTTTCTTTATAACTATACTATTATCATACTACTTGTACTATTACCATAACCATACTCTATTATACTACTCAAACTATTATAATAACCTACTCTATAGCAATATCAATATCATGTTACTCATACGATTACCATAACCATACTCTATTACCATATTCATATTACTACCGCAACCACACTCTTTTACCATATTATTATCATATTACTCATACTATTACCATAAACATATTTTAACCATATCCACTCACACATGGGAATATTATGAATACTGTATCAGCAGTAGACTTATTTATGCAATTTTCGAAATGAACTAAAAGTCAATAAAATGCTTACGAGAAGAAAAAAAATTCCAACCTTTTGACCGATGTTTCTTTATCATACAGCTGTTAAATATTGCATCCAAATGTATGATTCATATGCTCTACTTCACACTGCTGAATTTGATTATATTGATGTTTCTATTTCACTTTCTTTTTGCACAAGGAAGCGGGAGAATCTTAGCAATTATTTCCTTCTACCCAATTAAAAACTTATTTTTACTTTTTAATTTATTACGGTCATAAATAAGGTAATAAAACTGATAGATTATACTCAGTTTTAAAGTTATAATTCTAAATCCAATAATGTCGGTAAACATTAAAGTTAAGTCATGTCAATTAATGTAATTTAGCAATAAGCATTTAATCTAAAATTCGTAATATTGTAAAGAAAATAAAACAAACATCAGAATTCAGAAATATAGATATTAAAAAGAAAAATTCTTCTTCTAACATCGTCTTTTGTTAAATTAACTAAGTCTTTTTTTATCTTTAATTATTTTTTTTGCATAAGTACATTGAAATGTAGAAAAAAATTAAGCTAATGTATTTCTCAAATCGATTACTAGCTTTTGTTTATTTTTTTGATTTTTCATTCAATGTTTAATGCGACTTTTCTGAATTTACAGCAAACGAACAATTATGGAAAAAAATAGTTTTTGCTCTTTTGCTTACTTGTCTTCCACCTTTTCCAATATTTTCTTACAGTTTCTAACATATTTACAGATTTTTTAAAAATAAATACCTAACGCTTGGTTAAATCTGTAAAAATATACTTTGTTTCTTTTCTCGAGATACAGTACCTACAAGAATGTATTAGTGTATTATTTCTTGACTAAAGAAACAAAAGTATGTGACATAAGAGTTCAACCCTAATGACGTAATTTTTGGAAGATAAATGCTTTCTAGACAATTATCCTTCATTTCGTTTATTTATTTATTTTTTAGAAATTTTTTTTTTTGAAAATCCCACGAATATCTAAACTAATAATGAAAGAGTTTTAAATTTTTCTGAAGTTGTTAACATCATAGTTTTATTTCCTCTGTATATTAAATCGTTCGTTTCTTTTCATTCCACTTCCTTCTTAAAAATGAGAAGCGGTGATAATTACTTCAAAAATGATATAATTTTTTTAAAAAACTTATTCGTTTTTTCCATTCTTAAAATAGTTACACAGTTTGGAAACATATTTTATTTTATAATTCGTCACTTTTTAAGAACGGTGTTGTTGTTGTTTCTAATGACACTTGGACATGCCAAGCTAGTCAGATAATGTCTTTTTGCAAATTAAGTCAGGGTCTTTCGTTTGACAAGAGAGCACTGAAAGGGTGAAAGTACGTCTTAACTATGAACCGCATTGATAGATGGCAGTACCGCTCATTCGTGAAGACACTTCTTCAATTTAGATACAGATCTGAAAAGGAAGAAAAATTTCTCGAGATTCCTGTACCTATGGTACTGCTCAGAGACCGTCCACCGGACTTTCGATTCCGCAGATCTAACAAGCATAGCTCATCTTCAAAGTAAAGTATCTTTCGGATAGAACCAATTTTCCTCATCATTCATTTGTCAAAACTTAGTAATCCTCAAAAAACAATAGATGGTGGTTAAATCGCAATTTTTATGAAAAATAGACATATTCTTTCCCCTTGATCTTCATTAAACGTGAATAATGGCAGAAATATCATCACACTTCGATAGAAGTGTATGCCTTTTAAGAGATTCCTTTTACGTGTCTTTAAATTGGTATTTTTATTTTTCTAAATTATCTTGATTTTATTATAATTTTCTGTTTTCCAATAAATGATTTTAGAAGTTGCATTCAAATAGGTTCTGAAATAGCTGTTTCACCATAATTTGTTGATTTTACGTCTAACTTGACAAAGCCGCCCAGTTTTATCGATAGTCAAGTTGGCCAGCAACGATAATAATCAATGTAATTAAGGCATGTAATTTACAAATAAATAAACTGTACGAAAATAACTTTTAATTACTCATTGATTTATGCAATTACTTTATTCAACATGTATTTTAAACAAAAAATCTACAAAAAATATAAAGGGGGAAATTTTTATTAAACTATATTAAGCGTTCATACTATGCTTTTCGACTAGAGATTTAGTTTTTGTTGTAGTTTAGAAAATTCTTCTTAAACCTATTTGTAAGCTGTAGTCTTACCAAAAAGAGAAAAAAATGGCATTAATAATAAAATGCTTTTTTTTACAGAATAAATATTGAAGTCGGGGAGAATGAGTTAGGTAACTGTGTTTTTAAAATCTTTAATCCCTACACATAGTCACAGTTTAGAACTTCTCAATTGAACTCTTCTGATTCATTAAATTTATTGTTTTACTTCTTCTTCTTCCTTTTCAGGCCTATTCCGACTGGTCAAAATAAAGTGCCTGCCAATTAGTCTCGTTACATCGAGTTCCACTTTTTCAATAGGCAAAGGGATTTTCGAAAACACGCTTCTGACAAAGGATTTAGTTTTAGTCATGAAGTTCGCAATTCATATTGGGGGAATATAAACCAGGAACAATTTCTACCTTGAAATGCATAATATTTCCACCAGCCAATGAAGACAACTTGGATTCGGTTTATGTTGTTCATACTTGAAACAACAGTTTCTATCTGCTATCTTGGTGACCATTTCAATATTTCAAGGCATATGGTACTGATCGCCAGATAAGTTCTACTTAGATTCGATGCTGAAAAGTCTTTGGTAGTCAATTCGATCGGAAAATAAAATCTCGTAGTACTCACGTTCTTAAACAGAATTAAGGAAGATAAGTACAGAAACGTCATCCTCTTTAAATTTAAAATACTGATTTTAGTTAATAAATGTAACAACAGTACTATCTGCGGTCTTGTTGACAATGTGGTGCGCAAGAGCAATAACATAACAAGCATTTATATTTAGTTTTATGAAAAATAAAAACAACGTTGCTAAGACAACTCAATAATAATAATTACTATATTGACGTTCCAGACATTGGGATGTAAAAGTATTAATGGATTTATATATTTTATATTAACTTGTAAATAACTGTGTATATTAAATGTTGTGATGTCTCCAATTTACTTCGTTTTTATTTATCCAAAATCGCACATAGTAGGAAGATAGAAAACCTTCCCTTACAACTGGTGACCTCAGGACGTGATTAGTTTAACAGTGCGAAGATTTTATTTGGATAAAAGAAAGGTTTGTGCATTACCATTATTTTATAATTATCTTTATATTAAACATGGAGGAAAGCACAAACGATAATTTAAATTCATCAACTCAAGATAATGTGAATTTAGAAGTAAACAAAGTGGCAGTTAAACCACCAATTTTTTGGCGACATAAACCTAAGTTATGGTTCTTACAACTTGAAGCACAGTTTGCTAACGGCAATATTACTCGTGATTTAACTAAGTATAACATTGTCGTTGCCTCATTAGACGAAAATGTCTTAGATTTCGTAGAGGATATTTTGTTAAACCCGCCAATGAATGGAAAATACGACGCCTTAAAAAATGCATTGTTAAGTAGATTGACAGATTCTGAAGAAGCCAGGTTAAAAAAGGTGTTGACTACACTTAATCTTGGCGATAAGCGTCCATCTGACTTGTTGCGACAAATGAAAGGTTTGGCTGAAAATTCCATTTCTGAGGAATTGTTAAAATCACTTTGGCTACAGAGGCTACCACAACAGGTTCAAGCTATATTATCTATTAGCTCTGATTCTTTGGATAAAATGGCAGAGATGGCAGACAAAATTATTGGTATATTTAGCTCAACAGAGTTATGTACAGTTGATAAAGTATCCAGTAAAACTTTTGAGCATAATAACATTAGTAACGAAAAATTTAATTCATTGGAGATTAGTATTGCAGAATTAACTAAGAAATTTGATACATTCATCACAAGGAGTAGACCTCAAGATAAATCTGTAACAGCTCGAGACCGTAGCCGTTCGAGATCCCAATCTTCTCGTTATAAGTTATGTTGGTACCATTTTAAATTTGGAAACAAGGCACATCGCTGTGTTAAACCTTGCCAATTTCAAAAACCAACAAATACTTCGGAAAACTAACGGGCCGGTCGATTGAAGAGGCCAACGACTACGGCCATCCAAATTGCCGCCTCTTTCTTTTTGACAAGTCAAGCAAAAGGCACTATCTTATTGACACTGGGGCTGACGTGTCTGTAATTCCACCGCCAAAACCCAATAAACTGTTCCCATCTGATTTTAAACTTTATGCTGCAAATTCAAGTTCAATCAAAACTTACGGCAAGCAACTTATCAGTTTAGATTTAGGCTTGAGAAGACGTTTCAAATGGAATTTCATCATAGCAGACGTCTCAAAGCCAATAATTGGCGCAGATTTTCTTAAGGCACATGGACTTTTGGTAGACATTAAACAAAAACGTTTGCTTGATCCTTTAACATCATTGACAGTCTCAACTAAAATAATCAAAGGACCATCTTCATTTTTAACACCCCTCGATAGTAATAATCTAGATCCAGATATTCATTCTCTACTGCAAGAATTCAAAAACTTATCTTCAGAAAAAATAGAACTGAATAAAGTTAACTTCAACCATAATGTCACTCATGCTATTGTTACAAAAGGCCCACCCATAACATCTAGAGTGCGTAGATTGGCTCCAGAGAAACTAAAAATCGCCAAAGCAGAATTTGACTACATGCTTGAGCGTGGCATATGCCGACCATCAAGCAGCCCTTGGTCTAGTCCATTACATCTGGTCAAGAAAAAAAATGGCGAATGGAGACCGTGCGGAGACTATCGTGCTTTAAATGCAGCCACATTACCGGATAGATATCCTATACCACATCTGCATGATTTTACACACCAATTAGAAGGTTGCACTGTATATTCCACATTAGATCTTCATCGAGCTTATCATCAAATTCCCATGGAACCAGCAGATATAGAAAAAACAGCTATTAGTACACCATTCGGACTGTTCGAATTTCCTTTGATGACTTTTGGACTTCGTAACGCAGCGCAGACATTCCAGAGATTTATGCACGCCGTTCTACGTGGTCTAGAATTCTGTTTCGTCTATCTGGATGACATATTAATTGCATCGCGCTCTAAAGAGGAACATCTACAACATCTCAGAATAGTTTTTGAGAGATTGCAACAATTTGGATTAACATTGAATCTCAGTAAATGCAACTTCGCTAAGCCTGAGGTGAATTTTGTTGGCCACAATGTTTCTCTAAAAGGAATTCGTCCAACAGAAGAAAAAGTCAAAGTCATTGAAGATTTCAATAAACCCAAAACAGTCAAACAACTTAGAAGATTTTTGGGAATTATAAATTTCTACAGAAGATTTATTCCTCAAGCGGCTCAACACCAAGCATGCTTATATGATTATTTAAAAAACAGCAAAAAGAATGATAATCGAACTATCGAATGGTCAGACGAAGCTTCAAATGCTTTTACGAAATCCAAAGAATTGTTAAAATCTGCAGCAATTTTGTCTCACCCAGTGCCATCTGCTAAACTTGCCCTTATGGTAGACGCTTCCAATATAGCGATAGGTGGAGTGGTGCAACAACTCGTCAATAATGATTGGCAACCGCTAGGTTTCTTTTCTGTTCGACTGACACCTACACAAAAGAATTATAGCACCTATGATCGTGAACTGCTAGCTGCATATTCGTCTATTAAGCATTTCCGATATTTGTTGGAGGGTCGAGAATTTACGTTATTCACTGATCACAAGCCGCTGGTATACGCTTTCCGACAAAACTTGGAGAAAGCATCACCCCGACAACAAAGACATTTGGAGTACATTAGCCAATTCACATTAGAAATTCAACACATTTCTGGAAAAGATAACATGGTTGCTGACGCTCTTTCAAGATTGGAAGAAATAAGAATTACTTCCGAAATTGACTTTGAATCCCTAGCCAAAGCTCAAGAAATCGACGATGAGTTAAAAGATTTAATGACGTCTCAAAACTCTTCTTTGAAATTTGAGCTAGTTCCTATTTTTGGCTCTAATCATTCATTATATTGCGATACAACCACAAAAATTAAAAGACCATTTATTCCAATTAACTTTAGAAGACAAGTATTCAAAAGTGTTCACAATCTCTCACATCCTGGAATTAAAGCGACTGTTCGATTAGTTACATCAAAATTTATTTGGCCATCAATAAACAAAGATATTCGTGATTGGACCAAGAGTTGTTTGAAATGCCAGAAATCCAAAATTTCTAAACATAATCATTCTCCATTACAAGAATATCCTATAGTTGGTCAACGATTTCAAGACATTAATCTAGACCTGATTGGACCTTTGCCATCATCAGAAGGATTTCGTTATTGCCTTACGATAATTGATCGCTACACGCGATGGGCAGAAGCCATTCCTTTACCTGATATTCGAGCAGAGACAGTTTCTGATGCTTTATTGAAAAATTGGATCGCTCGCTACGGTATTCCAAGCGTAATTACAACTGATCAGGGTGCGCAATTTGAGTCTCAATTGTTCCAAGAACTTTCGAAATTACTTGGTTTTAAAAGAAATAGAACTACTGCATATCACCCACAAGCTAATGGCTGTGTAGAACGTTGGCATCGTACTTTGAAAGCAAGCATAATGTGTCATGAAAATCCAAGCTGGACAAAGTCACTTCCGATTATTCTACTTGGTTTACGCACAACCTTGCGAGATGACTGTCAAGCCACCCCAGCAGAACTCTTGTATGGTGAAAATATAAAACTACCATATGACTTTTTTGAAAATTCAAACATTGAAGCGCAATCAGAATTCATTCAGAATTTAAAAAGCACCATGGAAAAATTAAAACCCGTCCCATTTCGTCATCACTCGAAGCAGAAACCATTTATATTCAAAGATTTAAAAACTTGCTCACACGTGTTTGTCCGTACTGACAGTGTTCGTCATAGTTTGCAACAACCATATCATGGACCATATAAAGTCTTAAAGAGAACCGATAAAATTTTCACTGTTGAAATGAAGCAAAAAGAAGGTAATGTATCTATAGATAGAATAAAGCCTTATTTTTCGGACATTTCTACAGAATCTGAAAAGACTTCAGAAACACCTTTACGGGTTGAAAAGAATTGTGGACCTATTTCATCGTCTACAATTTCTAAAGCTGCTACAGAGCAAGGCAACGGAAACAAAAGAGTAAAGCTTGTTATTCCACCCCGAGTGACTAGATCTGGACGTACAGTGCACATTCCAGCACGTTACACATGAGGTTTTTCATCGTTCGAGTACCTCACTAGGGGGGGGAGTGCTGTGGTGGGCAAGAGCAATAACATAACAAGCATTTATATTTAGTTTTATGAAAAATAAAAACAACGTTGCTAAGACAACTCAATAATAATAATGACTATATTGACGTTCCAGACATTGGGATGTAAAAGTAATAATGATTTTATATATTAACTTGTAAATAACTGTGTATATTAAATGTTGTGATGTCTCCAATTTACTTCGTTTTTATTTATCCAAAATCGCACATAGTAGGAAGATAGAAAACCTTCCCTTACAACAATTTCAGGTTTTCAAGTAATATTTGGCTCATCGCTAGAAGAGTGCTTGATTCGTTGCTGAGTAGTTTTTAATAGGCCGACCAGGAGACCGAGTGGTTAGCGTGCCTGACTGCGGAGCCGATGGTTGCGGGTTCGAATCCCGCTTAGGGCATGAATGTTTCTTTCTCTGTTCTATGTCCTTCCTTCCGTGTGATTGTGTGAATGTAACCAGCCCTATAAACTGGTTTGTGGTTGTATGACGTGGGCGACGCTACTCCACCGCCTTGGCTTAGTCATAGGTGCCCACAGGGTAACGATAAGAGAGTAGCAATTCTGGCATTTCTGAGGCCAATGGGAAACAGACCCAAATGCCCGCCATTAACCAAAAAAAAATTTTTTTTTGATAGTCAATTTGGTTGGAAAATAAAATCCTGTAGTACGCATTTTCTGAAACCGAACTAGAGAAGAACGAAAGAAAGAGGGCGGAAATACCCTTTTCTCTAAGTTTAAAGTATTAATTTTGATGAAAATTTTGAGAAAAATAAAAAAAGAGGAAAAATAATTTACTTTAGAAAAAATAACTTATTGTTTGCTAGGGTTAACAAAATAAAATTGCATGCGGGCAGTATCTAGCATTAATCCCATGCTGTACCTTGTACAGGTCTAAATTATGTGTAACAAAACCAGGTAGCAAATATACATTTTATGTAAACTTTGCAACTGGTAATATGCAATTTTCTTATTTTTTTTTTTGGGAAGATATAATATTTTGAAATATTCAAATAAAATATTCTGTTTAATTTAGAGTAGCTTAAAAGGGCTAATTAAAAAAATAGTTTTAATTTGCGATAATATACAAATTCGATCAACTATTAGGTTTAGACGATGAGATATCAAAATGAGTCTCACCTAAGGAATAATATTTAGAGGTCTTAAGTACAAAATCAAGTTCTACTTTGAACCCTTTCTATTACATTCTGCATTAAAAAAGTAAAAATGCAAAATTGATAATGGATACAATACTCAATTCCATGTGTAATAATGTTTGCGTATCACCACTCACTATTTTTTTTTTTCAAATATTTCATGTAGAAATTTTTTTTAGCTTTCTTTGATATCATTAAGGAGTTATATCTGCAACAAGCAGATATTTAATCAAACATGAAAACAAGAAGAAGAAAAACATATAACAAGAAGAAGGAGAAAAATCTATTTATAAAACTAGAAGAAGAAGAAAAAAATATTTAATCAAATAGAAAAGTGTCACAGAACAGTTTAAACTAATAGCTATCGCAGTGTAGGCTTACAATTTCCTTTAAATTGATTTCGAAAAAAAGTGCTTTCACGCTTTTAAAGGCATTATTCTAACACAAATGATTAGTTTCGAATTCAAAAATAATGCATTTAAAATGTCAAGTAACAGTATAAAAATATAGATAAAATTTAATTTTTATGTATTCTGGTGGTGAAAAGATCATGAAAGCATTAATCTAACTCAGAATCTACCTAATTAGAGATAGAGTAAAAAGGTTAAAATATTAATGTTTAT